GCACATATTATGAGCCTGATAAATAAAACATGGAAGATATGTTAAGCTAAAGAAAGTGTTTAAAATTACTTAACATATATTTGGGGAAACAACAACAACAAAAAAAACAAAAGTCGGTTGCTTTGTTTTAGAATCTTATAAGCGATGACTGAGTCGGTTGGGACAAAGATTATGTTTCTTTTATTCAAAATGTCAGAACTGAGCGTGAGCAGTTGGGTGACTTACATCAAGCTCAAAGAAATACTCATTTTCCTTGGAGGCGATCTCGTAATCTGCTCGCAGAGCCAAATCATGGACTTTGGCACATTCTCCCAGGTCCATTCTCTAAAACAACAAACAAAAGAGTGCAATATTTCACTTTCTATATCACTTCCTCATTAATATGAAAATTTAAAAAAAAACAAACATATTTAATTGCTAGTCTGGACTTGTTTTACCACAGTCTTTGCATTAGAAGGTGTGTATGTAGTAATCATAACATCTAAAATGCATCATGAAGAACAACCTAAATCACAAGCTCCAGCCCACATATGGCTTCTCTTATAAATGCAATCACTCTGCTCAAGCCTAATAAAATCCTGATGTAAACACTTATTTTTTTATCGTAAAGTAAGTTTACTTGGATTAATGATACTTACAGTGCCTGACAGAATGTCATGAGGACATGAATCTAAGAGGTGGCTCTTACAGACTCGATCGTCTGTAAATTTAATTCTCTGCCTCATGGTGTCTCCTGAAACAGAGGAAAAGCAAGGCAGCAGGTGTGAGATTCGTAATTTTATTTTGTGCGTTAATACATGTTATAAAATATCTTCTGCTCCCTTAAAACAAGTGTGATTCTATAAATGAAAATCTAAACTGAAGTGGTCAAAGTCTGTCATTTCATTCTAGCTGAGTATTTATTAACAGGGAGCCCAAAGTTAAAAAAATTCGGGGAATTAATTAACTTAGAACAACTAGTTGTAATAGCTACACAGAGAACGGCTTAGTTAAAATGAACTTTGTCGCTAAACTCTAAATAAGGTTTTAAGTGGCTCTGGAATATTGTCTACAACAGGTTGCTAAGCAGTTAGCTGCCCTCATGTTAGCCAGGCTGTGAGAAGCACGCCTCACTGACAGCTTAGCTTTACGGCTAATGCTAACACCAGTCATCGAGCACTGTGAGGCTATTAATCAAGACTGAAACAAAAGAAGTCCGGCTCACCGTCTCTGCCCGTCCCCATGAGCTGGTCCAGCATCGCTCGCATCTGCGCCTGGGCCGACATGTTGGCCTAATGTTGTTGGAGTGGCTCCGTCCCCGCCAGCAGTGCTCCTCTCGCGGGCCAGTCTCTTCAGCTGCAGGCCTCTCCTCTGGCTTTTTCCTTCACAATAACACGGTCAACTTCCCCCACCAGCAAGAAAAGCTCAAGCGCCACCAAAGCCACAGTTTCTTCAGTTTACTGAATGTCTCTCTACTTTTACAGAAGCTGAATATGGCTTTGTAAAGGTGGATGGCTTCGGGACCGCTGAAAGGAGCAAGTGCAGCGGCTGTTTAAAAACTGCTGGAGTCCATTGTCGGGTTGAAACGTGTGGCTAGTTGAGTGAATGCAGTCAGGGCGTTTGATTAGCTAACCAAATATGTATGGAAATGAAAACCAACTTGTTCTGTTAACATAGTATCTAAACGTATTTCTAGCCAGGCAGCTAGAAGTTGTCAAGTTTGTTCAACGTCCTCTCTCTTCCGCCTTCTCAGTTCCTCTTTGTGCGCGCCACCGGAAAGCGCGCGCTCCGTGATTCCGATGAGGTGTTGCAGTCAACTAGGCTCGATAAATTATTGAATTTTAATCTCTATTACTATTATTTTTAATAGAATACACGAGAATATACATTTTTTACGGACTATGTTTTTTGATAATTCTATTTATCCTATAAATAGAATAGCTTTCTATACAGCTTCCAAAAATTGCATTAGAGGGTGGATTTGTACTTGAGGGAACTTTGTTTAGTGAAAATATAAAGTCATGTCAAGAAATCAAAATATCATTGAAAAATTCACTTATTTATTTAAATTGCAAAAGTGACACAGAACAGGACGAGAAAATGGCTGGATGTTATTTGTGTTTAGACTTCTAAAATAAGATAAAATGTTTTATTAGAAAGTAAAACTGTTTATCCTGCATCACAGATGAGTCTTGGGTTAACTTTGTCTCTCTGTAGGAAGTCATTATTTTTGTACATGTGAATAAACATAAATATTGAGGTTAACAATCTTTCACTTACTTCAGGATATGTGCATCAGCTGTTCCCAAACAAGAATAACAGTGGAGGAGATTTTAGACTGGCTCTGGTCGAGTACAAACATTTCTGCAAAATTGATTCAATGCACAATAACAACACAAATATGTATATATTAATCTGATCTGTTTTAATTACCCTATTTATTTCCTCTAATATTTACAGCATACACATTGCCATTATGCCTTTTATCTAGATTAACATCTGAGTATTGCAGAATTTCAAGGATCCCCTCTTTTGGGGCATTTGAAGCCTAATCCATAGGGGGATTAATCCATGTCAGTCACTCATTATGTGACACCAAAGTAAATCTATTGGTGCTTTAGTGTCTTTACTAACTTGTCAAGTGATTAGACTTTACTAACTGGTAAATTGAGGTTGAAGTGTTTAACACAGTGTGTATGAACTAAAGTTAACTTCAAATTAGTAGGGGGGAAAGTTAAAAAGTATTTTTATTTCTGTTGAATTCCTATACATTCTCAGTGTTAATTATTCCTGTTTGGGATGTAAATAATTGTGTTATTTAGTTTACCAGATGTGATGTGATTTCCTGAAAGCAAATAGTAAAATTAGATATATTTTTGGAAATTTTTCCATTGACATTTAATATTTAAGCAAAACTGCAACTGGCAGGAAATATTAATTAAATGGTTTCCATTAGTTTTAACCCTCATGATTCTAAAGTAATAGACATGACCCCAATACATTATGTTCATATTTTCCAAGTGTTTTTAATATTTTTAATAATAGCTGTGGTACATTTGTTAATATTTGTATGTTGGTGTGATGTTTCACTAAACTGCTAGTCACACCCAACCTAACCCAACCCTGTCCGAGCACAAACGTCCCACTGTAAGGAACAAAAATGGCGACGAGCATACTGCGGCTTCCTCTCCGTCTTTTCAGCAGGAACACGGGCATAATGACCCGTAACCCCAGCTTGAAAACATCCACCATTTCCAGGACAGCTCAAAGCAGAACTGTGGTATCCACATCTTCGGGAGCAATCCTTCCAAAACCTGAAAAAGTGAGCATTTTTATCTTCGCGAAGTAGAGAAAACCGACAAGAAACAGGGTAGGCGGGCTTAAGGATGTATTGACAGCAGAAACGGCAAATAATAAGGCAGAAAACCTACAAAGGAGCTTTCAGTTAGCCAGTGAGCGTGTGTTTACACATATACAGGAAGTATTTTTACAGAATTTTTATCTTGTAGTTATTCTTAAAATTTTGTTTTATTTAAGGTTTCAAGAGCAAATAAGATGATGTATGATTTATCTATCCAGAATATTTCGAAATGATAACAAAAATTAACAATACATTAGAATATCACTGTCGGATTTCTAAAGACGAAATGGCATATTCTATTTAAATTCCTCACTGTAAGTGCCCACTTTTTTAGCCTTATGTGTGACAGTTTGGCAGACCATTGCAGATAAAAAAAAAGATCATTGTCAAAACCAATTTTGTAATCTGGTTTGACATTTTCACCATTGGTAAATATGTTTAATTTAGCTTCAAATTCAGAACGGGTTCCTACACAGCCTGAAAAAGTGTGGAATTTGATTTTTCATATTTTCCTGGTCTGGGTTATAACTAACAAAAGAAAATAGTGTATTAAATTTGTATTTCCAGGCTGTATTCCCTACTACAGTTTTCATCAATCCATTCATCCAACCAACCACATCAGTTTCGTTTTCTTTGTACAAGGCTATTGTTTTTGCAGGCTTTTATATTTAAAGCTTCATTTAATCAGAAATATCTGCAGTGAATTCACATTAAGATGGCCGAAAAGTGATGCAGTGTTAAGCAATGAAGACCAATTTCTCTACTGTGTCTTTAGTTTGCTGTTCTAATCCCAAAAACACTTGACATGAAAGCAAACAATTCAAATGTTGAGCCAGGACATGAACAAAAAAAATGCATAACCTTTGAAAAAAGGTGATACAATATAAAAGGTAAGCCATGTAGCTCTAAATTTGTTAAAGATTATTTTAAACAATCATTGTAGTGAAGTCATTTTACTAGGGTGAAGCTCTCTGTCTAGAGCACAGTGCTTAATAGCAATCAGAGGTGGAGTCTTTGACTTACACTGTTCACACTGCTTGAACTCTACAGACACCCTTTGGCCTTATCCGCATGACAGTGGTGGTGGTGCCTTTCCTTTATGTTGGAACTCTGATCAGCAAGAATTTTGCCGCTCTCCTGGAGGAGCATGACATTTTTGTCCCCGAGGATGACGACGACGATGACTGACTTTTGTCTGCCACGTAAGAGGTGAACAGTATGTGTCCCAGAGCCACACCTTAAACACTGGCTAAAGATTATAGCTCAAATCTTTTATGTCTGATCCTGTGTAAAAAGTGTGTCAGAAGAATGTTGACCAATTGCAGACTTTGTGCATGTAATTCTTATCTCCTCTTTATTTGTTGAAGTTTTTTCAATTTATAGCATTCCTGCTAATGAATGACATTGTAAAAACCTTTGTCCACAGGGTGCTTTGCAATATGGACTGAAAGAATACCAGGCAGCACAGGCTAGATGAGCGTGAAAAGAGCACTTTCAGACATCCTTTTCTCGTCCAGCCATCTCCTTCATATTGATCCATATTGATCCTGATTTTGAGAAATCCCTTGTCTTGTGAAGCTATCAGAATTATTATCTCTGTCTTCACTCTTGTTTGCATGTTTACAAGTGTGTCCACTAAATAAACAAAGTCGATCACACGTGAAGCACATTCTCTTTATTTCAGAACGGTCAGTGGTTCGTACATAACAGTTGTGATGCAATAAGATTGGTTTTACGCGATATTTATTAATTGGCTGGCTGCTGTTCATCCTTTGATGTAAAGTTCATGTGTTGACCTTATTGGTCAGGTGTCTCTGCCTTCCTCCTGGAGTGCAGCATTGGCCAGTCTTAAATGCTCATTAAGGGAGCCCAGCTCCAACTGGCTTCGACCCCTTGTGTCGCTCAGTTCAACATAGGCCTCCTTATACAGCTTGTAGACTGCTTCTTTTTCCTGTAGCAAACATGAGCATGTTTAAAATACAAACGTCATAAGCACACTCCAATATGGAAATATTCATATTTTGTTCTGTTACAACCACAAATTTTAATGTGTTTTATGTGGAAGGAAAAAGATAAAGGGTTTTTAGTTGATCAAATCTGACAAGTGTGTTGTGCACTTGAATTCAGTCCATAGACTCAATAATTTGTAGAACCACCTTCCACTTCATTCACAGCCGCAAGTCCTTTGTACTATTTCAGGAACGTTTAGCTCATATTTTTAACTTCTGTTTTTCTCACTTTACTAATAATTACCTTCTGACAATCTGTCACATACACTTTTTAAGAAAATTCATTAAAGTTTGTGGTTGTAAAGACAAGAGGATTTTATAAAAGATTTTATATTGATTAAAATAATTCAAGCATACCTTCATAAGGGTTTGGACCTCATTTCGTAGACAGCTGATTTCTTTTTTAAGATACTGCACCTCATTTTCCTTTGCTCTCAACAATGTCTGAAAGACAAAACATGCAACTTCTCACCATGTCAGCTTAAAAGATGATTGTATGTGTCAAATAATATACTGACATAATTCTCAGCTGAGTTTAATGTAGTTTTCAAGTTTAATACAAATAAAACAACTGGTATTTACACAAGCTATTATTACAAATTGGAAAATGTTGCTTCAGCTGTGTGTGTGTGTGTGTGTGTGTGTGTGTGTGTGTGTGTGTTGTATTGAGACATACATAATTAAGATATTGCGCATCTGCTCCGTCAGCATAATGCAATACATTAAATTTACCAGGAGGCGGCAGTATATACCACAGTAGGATGTTTCTGACCACGCATTCTTCACAAAGTCAAGAATTTCAAAACAGAAGTGAGCAGGCAACAGTGCATGGAGGTATTGATGATGACAAAGCAAACTACTTCGATTTATTTATGGGTTCATAATTGCAGTGTTTAAATGGTGGGACTGTGTTGTTTCCAATGGTATATCAAGACCATTTGATAGCTATGAGCTCTGGGGGCTTGATTGCACTGAGACACCGGATTCTTTATTGTGGTAGTAAAAATAATTTCGAAAGACTATGTTTTTACCTCTAAATTGGAAGGAGTTTCCTCAGTTTTGCAAAGTGAGACCGCCTCAGACCTCTGGCCTGTAATGAAATATCTCATTCGACTCATTTCTTCTGCAAGCTTCATCTTAAGCTCCTGAAAAAAAGAGTTTGTTAGGACAAATTGTGTTCCAAAGATATGTTGGAAAGTTAAATATAGATGCATTATGCAATAATGTGACAAGACAGTGGAGATTAAAACACAATCTCATGTCCAGCTACCTGGTTTTCTCTCTGGAGCTGCTCCATCTCTTTCTTCTTGTAGTCCAGCTCAGTCTCTCGGCTCTTGCTGTTGTGCTCAGTGCTTTTCAACTCCAGGCACTTTTGAGAGTATCGTTCTGATAGCACGTTTAACTCACCGTGCAAGACATCCGCCTGAGGCCTGATGTAGACAAACACACAAAGTTCCGAACCGAACTGTAGAGCATCATCACAGTGAGGGTCGTTATAGAGTTAGGAACATCTCAGTCTAGCAGCAAGCGCCTGGAAGGAAGTTGCTTTTATCAGCAGCAAAACAGAGAGCTGAGAATAAACTTACATACGACCTCTGTAGGAGGCATCCACGTGTGCTGCTCCTCCATCCAGCCCTCTGGCCTTCTCCACTTCTCTCTCCAACTCCTCCCTGTGAGCTGTTTTGAGTGCCTCCATAGCTTTAATGAAAATTAATCAGTTAGAAAACTAACCAATTGTAAAGTTATGGGAGAAGAGCCTTGAAGAAAGCGGAATCATCACAGTAGAAGTGTTATTTAGGGATTTCCCAATTAAATTCCGGGCGTCAGGCTACAGACTGCGACAAATTTTGAAAAAGCTTTGTCGTTTTCTTCATTCCTTAAATCGCATAACTTCGATATCCCCAGCTATTTCAGGAGAAGTTAGTAGAAATTAACACCGGTCGCTAAATTTTATGCCATCCACAGCAATGTGCGAAGCTTACAAAGCAGGACACCGTTGTCTGCTGAACTAAAAGTAGACACGGTGAGCCTTAATTATCAACAAGTAATATGAAAATGGGGAGAAAAAATATGCTAAGATCAGCTAACAGAAGATCACAATGCTAATGTATGTTGTGAAATAGAAAACAATTGTGTTATTTTACTGCATTGATATAGATTTTAACAATGTATTAAACTGTGACTCTGTATTGGTGATCCTTATTCTTATGTGGCTTGGATAAGAATTTGGACAATAAATCTCAATGGGACATCCTTTGTATGATACTACGTGTCAGCTAACCCTCAGCAGCTGACTGGCTCTCCTCTTGTAGCATGCGGTCTCTCTCTTCCTCAAGCTTCTTCTTCTCCCTGGCATGCTTCTCCTGCAGCTCCTGCAGCTGCTTTTGATGAGCTGCTTCCATGGCTTTCAGCTTGGCTCTACAGGGGGCTCCAGGGCCGCACGGACTGTCCACATCTATCTCCCTGGCTTGATTCTCCTCGACCTAATTTTGAAGAGAGAGGTTGGGAAGTTGGTTTGCACACACACTAAATATTAAGCTTTACTTTTGCATCCTTAAAGGAATTACTGGCTTACCTCCTTTTGAAGAGCTTCAGCTTTGTTAGTTGGAAGGATCTGACTATTTATTGATGTCTGATTGACCTGATTTGGGCTTGGTTCATACATTTGAGAATAAACTAGAGACTCTGGCAAATCTGGAGAACTTGATTGATGGGCCTTGGCTCCAATGAGAGACTTGGAGCTTATGTCCTTATAAGACGTCTCAAATTCTGTCCATTTTTTATTGACTTCAGAGTCTATGGTTTCAATAACAGGGACTGTAACGCTCCCCTTTTTCAGTTCCATGGAGTCCCACCTGCTGCTCATCTCACTGAGAGGGACCCCTTCCTCAAACCACTTGTTCCTCTCTTCCAGTCTCTTTGCTTGCTCACGGTCCCAACCTTCTCCTTGTTCCCTCTGAGAGGCCGGAGACAGGTCTGCACCCGGGTCGCCTTCTGTCGTTGGGTCCTTGTTGGCGTTAGCGTCTACGGTGTTGTAGATAGAAATGGCAGGTTTATAGCTGGAGTCCTTGCAGGGGAACTGAGCGGGCCGTTGGCTTGACGACAGTCTCCGGGAGCGGGGGTTCGCTTTCTCACTGCCGGAGTCTGATTGGCTGAGGGCAAAATAAGAGGGAATACATAAGAGTAGAGTTACACATCCAAAGAAGGACAACAGAACGGGTTCAATGGAACCTGACCAACCAATCATAGAGAGGTTCTGGCCCCTTGAATACTTTAGTGAAATTACAATTACAATTTTTAGATTAAAACAACATGATACACTTCAAAAAGGAATATTAATTTAATTAATTTATTATATCAATTTATGCCAAATAACTACATTTAATGAACAAGTAAAAAAAAAAGTGATGGAAAATATTTTATTACCACCCATTTTTCATTTTTACATTAAGAATTAAAATTGAAATGATGTCTGTTTAGAACATTATAAATGTCATTAATATTTTCCTCTTCTAAAAATAACTTTAAAGGACAGTTATGGAGCTTTAAAGTGAGGTTCTGCTTTGGTTCGAGAGAAATCTCTAATTCATCCCTTAATGAGACCAATTACAACGTGGAACTCACTGCGAGTTGTTCTGGATGGCCTGTGTCAGTAACTTCACCCAGTTCCGACGAATTCTGGATGTCACAGCAGAGAGAGTGAACACAGCTCTTTTTGTCTGAAGAAGAGGGAAACACACAAGAAGTGGGGCATCTTAATGACCGTCCACTGACCTGGAAAAATGCTTTAAAACACGAGGATAGCAGCGATGCACTGAAAATTACCTGGATTTGAAGCCCGTAGTTCTTCTCTACATCACAGTCTGACACGTTCACACAGGAAGTCAGATCAATCTCTCCGTCCAAATCATCTGACTGCATTATAAGAAAAGAGATTATCTTTATTGTTTACAGTGTCTTCTATATGGTTGGTTAAAAAAACAAACTGCAAACAGAACATTTTATGGCTTTTTCTCCCACAATAACTTTTTCACAACAACCTCATAAACCACTGATCTTTTCTTTCCTCTTCACAAATATGTTCTACTTTGTGTTGTATATTAAAATTTCCACTAAAAACATTATATCTTGTGGTCTCAATGGGATAAAATGTTATAAGGCACTGTAAGTGTCATTGAGACACATCATTTCCTACCTCCTCAGCCTCTGAGTCTCTGTAGTACCTCAGCGAAGTGTCACCAAGAACAAACCAGTGCTTCATCCACTGTTGAAAATTAACAGATGTGGACATTTATATATTATTTGGCAACATTATCATCACATTTAAGCGTTAAATAAAAAAAAAAGTTTTAAAAATTCGTTTCAATTTGTCACAGGGTCAAAATTAAACATACAAAATGAAATAAAACAAACATGCAACTGTGGTAACATTTAGTTAAATGCCTTTTTTCACTTTGATGGATTATCCAATTACATCTTTACTTCATTTATCTGATCCAAAATGTCTCCTGGCTTGCTCTTCCAATCCAGGAATCATGATGCTTAAGACAATCATAAAGTAGAAGGTGCAGGAACACCAGTCACTTTCTACAGCTCAGCATGTTTAACATCAGTGCAGACTGAGAAGATACTGACTGAGGAAGCTGTGTCTGCTCTAATATAATCATGTTCAGACACTTTTCAAATGTTCACATGGCTCAACCAAAAGTCTTCTGAGGTACAGGTCTCATGGTCAAACAATACGAACTTTAATTTGACCACAGTGACAAGAAGTATGTGTGAAGGACTCAGAATGAGGCTTTCAAACTTAAGATGTTTCAACTATTCAGCACGTTGGTAGCAGCTTTGTATTGTGTGGCTGTTTTAATAACAGCATGCCTTTTACAACTGCACAACTGTTTGTGGGATAATAAAAAGTGAAGGCTAGCATAATACTTTTAACTGCATCTCAAATCAGCTACAAAAGTAGACAGTTTAAACTTTGACAGAGTGGTCTTTAAGAAGGCTAAGAGAAAAATGGTTCAAATGGATGATTAAAATCTCAAAATGTATGTGATGTGTACCAATAATGCTTGCATTTGGACCAGAATTTTATTTTTAAACGCTGCTTAAATCATATCGAAACCACGCTTGACACAGCCCAGACAATCATCATAGTCTGTTGGCTGAGTCAGGCACATTGAAAACAGGTTCTTGCACTTTCTGGGTTCACACTGCCTGCCGGGTTCTTTAATGATGGTTACAGCAACAATCTAGCTTGAAGAACAAATGTGAAAACAAGTACTTACTTTGCCTTGCTCATCCAGCCTGGACATCCAGCCCTTTAGAAAACACCATCTGCAATTGAAGCATTAGAGCCAAACTGTTGGAAAGCACTCTGCTGTGGCTTGTGTCTCATTTTTGATTGTGAAACTAAAGGAAGCGGAAACTATCAAGCAGACAAAATGGCCCAGTTGATATCGTTACAGTAGTCTGAAACGTGCTAAAAGATGTTAAAGACGGTTATCTCTTCACAAGTAAGAGCAGTCTTGAAAAATGAGGGCATAAAACAGGAAGATCTGTAGTTTCTGTGAACCACGATCAGCACTGTTGGAGGAGAAAGAGGAACTCGTAAAACGTTCTCAGAATCACTCTGAAAAGCAAGCAGATGCTGTCAAAGCTAGTTAGGACACCTTTAAACACTCACCAAGCAAGACGTTGTGTCCAAGTTGCATGAGGTGATGACAGAGAAACAGGACTTAAGAGAGAAGTACTGCATGACATGCAGAAGGAAGAGGAAGCCACAAAAGTGTGGTCATACCATTTCGCTTAGCATTTTAGACTGCAACAATGAAGTCTTGTGACCCAATTTAACATTCTCCGCAGTAAAACAATAGAAATATGGTCACAGCTTTTTATATCCATTAATTACACACCGACAGCAGTTTTGAAAAGTGCAAAAAAAACCAAAAGAAACATTTTACTTCACTTCTCCATGGAAAGAAAAACTCCTGTAGAAACAACTCCTGTTGCAAAACTATTCTTGAATCCATTAATAAAGATGATTGATCACATGCGCAAGCCGCCCTAAAACAGACTGCTGAGTAATGCTTTTTTTTTTGCCCTATAATGAGCTTCAGTGAGACAGCAGAGTCAGATAAAACAGATGGAACAAACATCAACATGATGCATGAAAACAGAAGCAAAAATGACCCATTTTCCTCTGAACACGTGTGTTGTAGAGTTTCTGGAAGTACTGAAACTGCTCACCTGTGTCTGCAAGCACTCAGGGTGCCCTCGGTCCTTCACTCTCAAAGATCTGTGTTTTTCACTTAGATCTGAGGTCTTAAGTGGAAGAAGAACAAACTGGGTTTTCGTTGGCTGTTTCAACATTTTTCATGAAGGCCTGGGCAGTTGCTAGATCTTACCTGTGTATGAAGAGAAGTGGCAGATTGTCTCTGAGACAATCGTCCAGTCTCAAGGTCCCGACATTTTTCTCGTCTGTCTCTCCCCCTCTCTCTGCCCCTCCTCCTCTCGTCTGGCTCTATCCTTGAACTGTACATGTCTGTTTCATCTTGATACCTTCAGAAGATGAATACATACTTTTTCATGTTATAATTATTTAAATAGCACCTTTCACAGGATGAACCCACAACGTGCTTCACAGTAACGCAACCACAAAACATTTTGGAAAGATAAAGATTTTAAGGAGAGTAAAATAGGATACATAAAACATCATATAGCATAAAACTAGCAAAAAGCTAATACGAACAAACAAGCCTGGGAGGTTTACCTTCCAGCAGGACAATGACTCTAAACACAGCCAAAGTTGCTGAATCTTTGGTATTTACCAATGCGTTATGTACAATCTACCTGAGCTTGACCTAATTTGTAACGATGAATGAACTAACATGTTCAGTCTCTAGAGGTTTAAAACTGTTGAATACCCCATTTAACTTGCAGCTGCAATAGCAGGGAAAGGTGGTGGCTGAATATAAAGGTGCACCAAAGTTTTTTCAGTCTATCACATAAAGTCCCACCATGACTGCAACTCTGCAAAAAAACTTGTGGAGCATTATTCTGTTTCTATGTCATGAGTCATCAAATCACCAACCCCTACAGTCATTGGCTGTTCCATATTAAACACTTTCGTCGTGTTAAGCCCTTTCTACGGCCGAAGAAAAGTAAAATGATCTCACACACCTGTATGATCTTTGTCTCTGGTTTCTGCAGGGACTAGGACTCTCATTTCTCCGTCTCAGCCCTGGAAAATCTTCTTCTGACTCCACCTGAATCTTGGGTATATCAGCCAGCATGATGTAGTCATCTATGGTCATCCCAACCTTGGATTCAGAATCATTTGTGCAGATTTAACATTTGTTGACAAGAATTTTACCAAAATGATGAAAGAAGTCCTGACGTATGTACCTCTTCAGGTTCTACTACAGCTTTTTTGGGTTCGGAGAGCAACAGGGCATCCATTCCTCGTCTCAAATTGCTCTTACTTCTTTCAGAGCTGACTTTAGTAACATCATTATTAGCATTTGTAGCATCCGTTGCCACAGCTTGCAAAGGTGACCCATCGATCTGAAGGTCCGTTGCCTGTCTCAATGAATTGGAGCCTTGTGATGGCGGGCGACTGAGTAAAGAGGGTGAAGACCCATGCGAGGAGCCGAATCCCTCGTTAACCTTATCGGAGCCTGTGACTGCAAATTGTGAGGGTGATCCTCCAAGAACCCGAGAGTCTGCTCTCTGTCTCGATGAAGAGGAAGCTTGAGATGGGGGGTGGCTGAGTAAAGAGTGTGAAGACCCCTGCCAAGAAGCCACCCCATCATTACCGTCTGTGACTGCAATGTGTGAGGGAGACCCAACTAGAATCTCGGAGCCTGCCCCTTCCTGTCTCAATGAAGAGGAACCATGTGACAGTGGGAGATTGAGTAAAGAGTGTGAAGACCCCTGCCAGGAGCTTTGGGATCTACTCATCCTGCTGTCTCTTGAATCAGGCGCTCTTAGTGAGTCGTGACTCTGTGGACTGTAACCATTCCTGGATGGTGACATTTCACGGCTGTTGTTTGACAGAGTGTTGGCCAAACTGCTGACAGCTGTTCTGCTTCGAGGAGACGCTTTGTATGAGTTCTGCCTCACTGCAGAAGAACCGCGACGGGATATAGACTCAAGATTTCTGTAGAGTTTCTCAGAATCCAAACTGTGTTTATTTGAAGCTTGTGATGGACTTTTTGACTCTTGACTGGACATCTTAAGGTCTTCATAGCCAGCACTGTGTAACGGAAACGAGTCTGCCCGTCTGTGTGCTGAGGCATTACGAGAAGCTGTGGAATCACTTCTCCGTGAAGGACTGGACCTGCCAGATGTGTGGCGTGAAGCACCATTGGACTGAATTTGGAGGGAGCCCTGAAATGAGGCATGAGATCGAGCCTGACTCCTACAGAGGGAGCTCCCTCTCTGAGGTCCCATGGTAGACTCGGGTAACCTGTAGCGATCTGGACTCAAAGAGCTGTGACGTGTTGGAGAATTCCTCTCAGAGTCTGTACCTCTTCTGAAGTTTGAGTGGTATGTGTACCTCTGTGGGGACTCACTTCTCCAAGTTGCCTGCAGATAGGTCTCTGGGTTTCTTCTTTGGGACGGCAGTCCAAGGCTGACATTTCTGTAGGGGACACAGGCTTTGGGCTCGGGCACATAGTTGCTTGGCAGGGGATGTCCCCTCTCAAAATAGCGATAGGTACGCTTGTTGTCCTCATCCATCTGCTGCACACCGTCACCTCTTCTGTCAGGGGAAAAGTAGCCACTTTCTTTCTCCCTGCCTCCTCTGGACTCTGAAAGTCGTACAACCCTGTCATCACCGTGTTATTATTTAATTAGCAAAGTACAATTTAGCAACAAAAATTAATGCGTGCCAAAATATTGTGCCTAAGTTCAAGATAAAGATATCTTGTATGACGGGATGTACTGTGTGACTGACAGACCTGAAGCCCGGCGGGACATGTCTCTAACCCTCCTTTCATCCATCCAGGAGTTTTCAGTGTCTCTCGGGGGAGATGGGTCCAGTCTGGTCATTTCTGTTTGGACTGCAAGAGGGCTCTGTGGGCTGAGGGATGCGCTCCTCTCTGAACACTCCCACTGATTTGAATAGCTAGAAGACAAAGACAGAAATTGGATATTCTCCTCAAAGGGATCAAGACAAGAGGCAAACAGTAACCCTGGAGGACTTTCCAAGAAGTACGGTTATGGTCTACATTACACAATATTCTCTTATTTGGACTACGGAGCAGGCTTGTAAGATGAATACTTTTTCTCCCAAAGAAAAGATGCAGGTCTGGCTAAAATCCCATCTGAAACCATTTAGGATGAACCCAAAACTTTTGGTGTCTGCTGTAAAACTGGCCTCCTTTGTTTTTCTTTAGCACATTGGTTAGTCCAATCATACATCCAAATAAACTAGAGAATAGTATTGGGAGAGAAAGAGTAACGTTTTGAAATGGCTTAGCCAGAGTCCAAGATTAAATTAGACTGAAAACATGTACAGTTATCTGAAGAGGGCTATTCACAAGAGATGTCATCTGATAGGTATGATGAACTCTTGTAAGTTAGTGTGGAAAAATGTTTTCAAGCCAAGATGTTGGACACTAATAGACTCCGACTGAAGGAGACTAGATGCCAAAATTCAACCAGAAAGTGGATCAATGACATATTAGTTTGCACACTAATTCAACTAGGTATTTCACCAATTTCCCCCCATTTTTCATCAATTCATCAGTTGAATATTTAATAACAGGACATTAAAATGTATGATCTGGGTCACCTAGGTTGAATGTCAGTTTCACAATTCTCGAGTTCCCACTCAGGACTCAGGCTGCGTTCAAGATTCCACTCAAACGTCCAACAGCCACTGGCGTCATCACTGCTGGCACATGTCGTCACCTCAGACAGCGCTGGATCCTCACATTCATCCTCATCATCATCAACATTAGTGTCACCTACACCCTGGTTTGCAGAGGAAAGGAACAAAATATTAAATATAAACATCTGGATTATTTGCAAAATGGCTGGGTCAAAGGTTAAATCCAACAAAGACTGGATTACATCAATATTGTGAGATACATAACCTGATTGAAACAGTTTGAGCTGTAATGTAACTAGTTTTTAAAAATGTTTTTATTTGGCTATTTTGCCCATTTTACATGAATGTGACTAAATTAAAAAGCTGGCGTCTTCAAAGAACAAGCCCTTATAAGTAAACTCAACGCACTTATCTCTGTAGGAAATTATAAGTAAAGTCTATCAAGAAATCTTTCACTCACCGTGACTGGAAAGATCCTTTTGTGAAATCTGCTGTCAAGATTCTGCTGTTCAGCTCCTTCTACCTTCACCTCTTCATTCACTATAGCAAAGCCAATTCACTTAGACGCCGCAGGACGTAACTCAAGCTAGTCTGTGTTCATGCTCATCATTATTTCATTGCTCTAGTGCCTTTGCATTACCAGCGCCGCCCATTTGGAACCTTTTTGGCTTTTTTCTTGATCCCAATCATAAGTTCTACCTGTCATTAACACAGATAATACACTTTATTTGTCCTTTAGATTCTCTCCAAATTGGATGCGGGTGTGTGAATGTTAGACCCAATCTCTTTTGGTTCTAAAAACACAATAAAGTCTAATTTAATGTAAATGTTGTCACTATAGGACTCCTTGGCATGTTGTACTCTACAGGTTATTTTAACCAGTGGCGTTGTGCTACTGCAGGGTGCTTGTGACAGTGCATATCGGATTTCCACCCATTCCCAGAGGACTGCAGCAAGCTTTCATTAATTAATGATAAAAGAATCAAATACCACATTGAGGTGCTACAATGTCTGCCACCTCCACCTTCGGTTTTACTTGATTGACTGGCATAGTCATCTTGCTATAATACAAATGGTAGAACATTGTGTCTCACGTCCTTGGAATTTACTTAATTATTTTACTTGCTATTCACTCTGAAACATGCTAATGGTGCATCTATTTATATGTCACAATGAGTGCCAGACACTTTTTTTTGGAGAAACTTCAACTACTTACAATGTTCCGATTTCAAAAATTCATATCAAAACACAGGAAGGCGTGAGAAGCTAACACCAACGTCAGCATATTTTTAGCATTAGCTTGAGTTACAGTAAATAGCAAGATCACATAGAGCAAAAACTAAAGAAATACTAAAAAAAGCTCCAAGATTCTAATAAAGTTTACAAGATCATTGAGTAACAGTTCATAAAGAGAAAGTTTATGTTTGGTTCAATGGAATAATTTTACAGTTTAGCTTGTAACAGCTGAATTATGGTCAAAAGCGTCGGCTATAACAGATTGCAGTTTTGACAATTGTGAGCAAGGTATATGCATTATGTTTTATTTCCTCAGGAGCATATTGATGGTGCAAAACTATTTTTGTACAGAGCTTGAAGCCTCAGATAGACAAGTACTGAACCTATGAAACAGTGCAAGCAAAATATTGAAACTACTTCAAATTGCTTGCTAAATTGACTCTATACTCTAAAATAGAATTTGATATCAAATAGAACCAAGTAATATATTAAGTGTAGCCAAAACCACGAAAATGTTTTATTTATGTGGTCTGTCTGGCAGTGTGGCACTCAGAATTGTTGTCTGAGTGCCAAGGAGAAGCCAGCAGATTCATTTTCACAAGTGAAGTGTTACGGCTTTTAACATCATGTATCTTGATATATCTATAAAACTTTATTAGAAAAGTTTACTTCGAATGCAATAGACGGCAGACAGTGAAGAATTAGGAAAATAAAAGAAAGGTAGAAAGACGGGGTAAAAAGTTTAAAGGGAAAGAAGGACTTACAAGAAGAGAGAGAAAAAGGACAAGAGAAGAGAAGAAAGGGAAGAGAAGAGAAAAGGAGAGATAAGCTTTCACACGTTCAGAAAGAGCGAAGACCTCCCACCCCCCAGAAAACTGAGAAACCACAGCTTCAAAAAACATGTGCATGTATAACAAAAGTAACGTCACTGAAAAGTACCCGTTACTAATTAATAAAAGATGTATTAAGTAGTAACCACAGCCCAAACAGGAAACTGTCTAAGTTCAGGTTAACTTCTGAGAAACCAGCCAAAAGAAAGTCTAAAACTGCATTGGTTCGACTTTTTCAGATTTTAAGCTCTACCTTTAAACTAATGGTACTTTGCAAAAATAGCATTCTGCATTAACTTGCTCATATTTTGTTACAATAAAGTTGGAAAATTAACAGGATTTACAGTGACAGTCTAATACAAACTGTTGCATAATTTTGAAGTGGAAAGAAAATGATACATGCTTTTTAAAATTAAAAATCTGAAAAGTTTTGGCATGCGTTTGTATTCAACTCTTAGGAAAATTTGTCTTTATGAAAGGGTGGCAAATAAAAAGCCACTGATGAAAGAAAGTCATAAACTACATAAAATGTAGTGGTGCATAAGGATCATGCCATGAGGAAAGAGGAAAGGTCTTCAGAGTGAACGAGAAGAATAAGGCTAAATAAAGGAAAACCCTGGGAGAAAACCTATTAAATGCTGTAAAACACTTGAGACTGAGGTGGAAGTTCACCTGGAAGGACAAGAGTCGATCAAAGTATGCTCATGTGCTTGAATGGCCCACACCTGGATCTAAGTGAGAATCTTCGGGAAGACTTGGAAATTGAGCTTCGCTCTGGCTTTCCATACAATCTAGCTGGATTCGAGGTATTTTACGAAGAAGAAGGCACAAACTGGTAAAAGGGATTTCCCAAAAGATGCCCCAAATGCAAATGTTATTCATAAAGCAAAAAGTGAGAGACCATGTACTGTTTTCCTTCCATAAAATTGTATTGTCTATCAAATAAAAACCATATTAAAATGCATAACATTTTTGTAGTAAAAATATAAACTGTGGAAAGGGGTGTGAATATTTTCACAATATATACTGTATGAGAAGAACACATCAATAGTGATGCAGCAGGGAAGGACTCAATAAATTCTCACACAGCTTTAGAATTGCCCCCAAAATTTACACTGCACAGTAATTAGTTTTGATAAATGGTCATTATTTCTTACTTTTTCTCAAGAGATTTCTTTGTTTTTTTTTTTATGCCTTACCCTAGTTTGCTAAAATGCAAGCTAGGCCGATTTCACTACTTGTAATGCACGTACCAGCTCATGTGGACTGTCCAAAGCTGCAGCATCTGCGTATTCTGCAGTGGAGTTACTGAGGTGCATGTGATTCGGCCGCAGGCAGGTCCTACAGCGGGAGGGGTCAAAGGTGTTGGGCAGGAACTGGCGGCAGTAATAGTCTTCAGCAGGGGGCGCCATGTTGATCCTGCCCTGCAGGATGTTGCTGGCGATTCTCTGGAACGTCAGCACTAAAATAGCTTCTGATTGACTTGTTTCAATAGAACTGGCGTGGTGTTATTTCCCAGGAGACTCTTGGGCTGTAAGCACAGTTCATTACCATTATATAATAACAAACATAATCAAAACAGCTGAATCCCTATTAGCTACAATTAGGCTTAAGAGATTAAAAGATAACAATTAAGATGCATTTATTTGAAACATAAGCAGATAAATGGAATGAAAGAAAAATAAAATCTTAAAATAAATTATTTTTAGTAATTAATTGCACATGAAAATCCGTCTGGTGAAAACAAATAATGTTACCTGGAGGGTGATCCAGGGGATCCAGGACTGGATTAAAAATACACCTTCAGCATGGCATATTTCCACAGAGCTGTCCTTATTTGGAAGGTCTTATAACGAGAAAACTCCCTAGTTTGACTGTGGAAGTGTTGCAGGGGCTGGATCTTTTATGGAAACCCCCCCCCCCCACTAACCTTCATTGTTTCTCGCATGGGCTCAACACTCAGTGCCCTATCAGATGACATCCTCCTGAGAAAACTGAAACATAGTACCAACTCTTTTGAGCAGGTGTCTTACGGACGGGGCTGCTCCACAGATGGTCCTCTGGCAGGTCAGGACGCATCAAAACAAAAGGATGGACAGGCCCACCACTTACCAGCCTTACTGTAGTAATGGTATAAAGAATAATGCCAACCATAACTTCTATCTTGAAGAAATAATTCACTTATTATCAGAGTAATGAGTGTTGTTGCAGAAATATCAGGTGGATGTTGAAACATGAAGAGCAGGGTTGAAAACCTCTGGTTTAAATCAAATAAATCCCATTCTGGAATGACCCTGCCAAAGTCCAGAGCTGATCAAAAATTGCGGAACCAAGAACTGTCAGCTGCAAAGCTGGTAAGTGTTGCCCCAAGGACTTGCTGTAACGCGTTATTCTGGAGCAGGTTTAATACAAATACATGCCACACTTTTTAGATTTATACACATGTCCTTTTCCTTTCACTTCTCAACCATATATGACTTGGTTGGCTCACTTTCAAAGGTTGCGCAACATTAGGAAAAGCTTGTGGGATGTGAATACTTTTGCTGTGTATTGTATGTGTACTTACTGTTAAGTGGACTATCTGGCCTGCATCTGTTTTAGTGCAAGTACTATGAAGTAAACACTTTGTCCCACTTCACATTACATGGTTAATCTCCAGAGCATGGCAACAGTGTGTGGTGTTTAATTACAGTTTTAGAAGCCTACATTTTGTCAAGCAGAGCTAAGACACAGAAGTATAATTAAACATTCTGGCACATGAAATGACAATTAAGGAGAGATATTCTTGTCCTCTGCTGTCGGTGTGACACATTCTGTTGCTACAGTCAGCCGCTCTGGCAGAAGTTGCTGTAATGAGAAAGTGGAACTAGTATCCATGGAGATGCAGTCAGAAAAGTTAAACTCGCGCGCCTTAAAACTAAGTGTAATTCAGACATTTTAATGACTGTGTTAAAGCTACTTAATCCTCCCCCCCCCCGTCATAAACAACTCAGAATTAAATTGTTTCTCCCACGCAGACACAAAGATTAGAAGTAAATCAGATGTTTACTGTTTCACCACAGCCTCCACACAATAAGTAGGATGAGTGGTACGTTCAGATTTCTCTTTTTAAACTCCAGTGTTGGACATATGAATGATTTATGGGTCATGTCAGAACTGGAGGATGTTTTCACTCCCTCCTGTGCAACCTTGTTGCTGTTTTTTTATCCCTGTTAACATTCCATATTCATTACGATAATAGTAACTTTCTAAACCAGCTATTTAGAAAGTTGGTTTCACTAAATTGTAAAGTTGTCGCAGCTCATTTTATTGTTTTAAACTCAGTCATACATGTACTGAATTATAAATTTATTTGATAACTCTGTTCAGTTCAGTTCATTAACTCAATTTGTAATGTTTAATCAAGACTATACAGCTTTTGTGATGCTCAAAAGAGGAAAAGTGAAAGTAATTCATTGGGATGTGCATTTTTAGACTAAGCAAA